TTTTATTTTTTTGAAAGAATTATATATGATTCTTAGATGACAGTTTTTTCATTACTGTTTTTCTTTTATTTTATTTTATTTATTTTTTTTTTTTTTGAAGAAAAATTATGTACATATTCTAAATAAAAGCTCTGATTCTCAAAGGACTATGTTTATTGCTAATTCTTCAATTTCACGAACACTGATATATTTTGTTGTTTTTCAATGCAGTTCAAAATGGTGATCAATTAGAAGGCGGCTCTTTCATCCTGGCATAGCGAAATATGAGTATCAATATATAGATATATACCTATACGAGAATAAAGAGTACTGTAGTCTCTGTAATAAGGCAACTACGTTATGGCGCCACTGATAAGCTTTCTGTGTTTACACAACATCAAATCATACACACTTGTACTATGGGAATTTTCTCATATGTTCAATCATATATATTTACTAGTATTTGATACTGTGCACATACAGAGATGTTTAAATTATTATAACTTATATGCATATATATGTTGAGTATATTTTTGAGCATGTGGTAACCGAGCTACCCGACTCGGGTCGTTCTCAAAGGAAGGCTCTTCGGAGCTTTATTCACTACCTAGTCGTCAAAGTCACACAACCGAAAGGAAGGTCCTACACATTCTACTCACTTGAAAGGGATTGATTTAAGCTAAACTAATTCTACAAAATTGAGGGCAATTGAAAGCAATTAACTAAGCACGCAAAAAGATGAGAGAAATCAAGGGGGAAAGAGAGATTTTGGTTTGACGGAGTCTCCATGATCAATCACGCGCAAATAACCGAACATTGCCATGCTAGCTAAAACCCTAGGAAGCTAAACCCAACTCTAGCACGAGACGAGCAAGTATTCAACTCCTAATCACACTTAGTCAAGCATTCACGATCTAAAGATTCAATCTTTTCCTCCAAGCAACACAAGCACAATATCGATTTTCACAAAAGCAAATAAAGATATACGAAGTAATGAGGCTTAAGACTAAGTACCCACTCTTGCACGCACTTGGAAGAAGAAACGGAGTCAAAAGCTCGAAACTTTACTCGAAACAATGTCGCCGGAAATTCGCCGGAAAACTTGATTCATAAAGCTCCAAACCAAAATATAAAAAGAAAAAAAGAAAATAGAGAGGATTTTCCCAACATAAAAGTTGGAAAATGAGGGTTGTTTCCCAAAAATACAAAGCAAGATGTCTTTATATAGCTACATCACAAAACACACACTAAAACATGCACATTAAAAACAACACTCTCGACCTAGCCATAAAACTCGCGAGCACGCGAGCAGGGGCGCGGACAGGTGCGGCACTCTCGTGGTCGCGGCGAGATTCGCGAGGTCGCGGGCGGGCAACAAGTATGCGGAGCACGGGTAGAACTCTCGATCTCGCGCCTAGTTTCGCGAGCGCGTGGGCGGCATAGGCACTCTCGAGCTCGCGACAGAGTCCGCCAGGTCGCGGCGTGCACGGGGCGATGAGCAGCGGCACTCTCGACCTCGTCGTTGTTTCCGCGAGCACGCGAGCCGCTAGAGTGAGCATGCAGCAGCACTCTCGAGCTCGCTATGATTTCCGCGAGCACGCGACTGGCAGACGGCGTGCGTGCGGGCGTAGGCGTGCGTGCATGCGGGCATGGGTGTGCGCGAGCGTGCGTGCTTGATTCTTCATTTCGCTCTATCTTCTCGCACCGAACTCCGATTCGCTCGAAACTTGGACCAAAATTCTTGTCCTTGAATGCTCTTCCTACAGAAATGGTTTGGTCGGAATTTCCAGATTGGATGGTTTGGTCGGCTCGGACGGTTCGTCTCCTCGTGCGCGATGAAATGGACCTAATCACACCAAAAACAAAGAGATAACGCGCAAAAATACGAACAAGCTATACAAGAGCAAGAATATACAAAACACAACAAAATGGACCGGTCGAGCCTAAAAACGGACCTAGAAACCACAAAATAAAACACATAAAACACAAGAAAATAAGGACAAAAACACAACAAACAATATATAATATGAAAATTATAAATTAGATAATATTATCACATTTAAATTTTTTGTCATTAGTAAAAATAAATATTAATTATAAAGATTGTGATCTTCTACAAAAAGTATTCCCCTTACTCTATCGGTATATTTCAAGTGTTTCACTAAGATGTCGAAGTTTAATTTTCCCCATTGAATTAGAGCCTCATAGTTGAGTTATTGATAAATTGTTCATTTGTTATCTATATGTATATATATATATATATATATATATATATATATATATACATATAAAGAGTCATCCTATTTATAAAATTAGTAGCAAAAAAAGTCAAAAGACAAATAATGTATTCTATTTCCATCAATTTTTCAATTATATTATTATTTTATTGCTAAAAAACCGGTCTGCATTTATTCATCCTTAATTGATGTGTTTTGCTATAAAATGAGACAGATAGACTTCAAGTAAAAACATGTCTCATTTCAAATTAAATTTAAATATTAAAATTTGTTATCATTTTGTTACATTAAAATCCTAAATGAATTGTTTGCCATATAATCGAACAAAATAATAATTGCATAGAATTCAAGTAAGAACAAGTCTCATTTAAAATTTAAATTCTAAAATTTCTTATCATTTTGTTACATTTCCGAATGATTTGTTTCCCATAACATCAGACGAAATTAATAATATCATAGAATTCAATTATGATTTCGAATTTATGTCAAGGATTTTAATAATTGCATAGAATTTCAAAGATGTATATTTATTATAAAAAAAATAAATTATAAAAAAAACATTTGTTTATTTTTTGTAAAATATATGTACAAAATGTTTTACTTTAAATTTATTTACATAATTTAAATTAATTACATTAATAAATAATATTAACATACATTAAATATCTTAATTACATAATTCAAAAAGTGGAAGAAGACTACATCTATAACTTGTATAAATAATAATGATGATATTATTTTACAATAAATTTTATAATAAAATAATATGAATATTATACGAAGAACAAGATTACGTAAAATTGTCATTATTCTTATATCAATGAATAGATATATATATATATATAATGAAATCAAATTTATATTTTTATAAATATGTGAGCGAGATAATATATTAATTAATTTACGGGCTAGCGCTACCAGACTCAGGTTTGATGTTCCAACAAAAAATTGACGTTGATGAAATGATGTAAAAAGATAGTGATGATCAAACTGTATTATTTTTTAGGTCTGAACGGACAAGCCCTATGGTCCACTCATAATATTTCCTGTGAATAGCAAGAGTTATCAAAGAAGCTATGTGAAAATGACTCATTTAATACTTTTGTCTCGTGCATCACACGGACTATGTACTAGTAAATTTTAAAAACTCATTATCATAATAAGTCTATATAATTGATCGCAATTGATTTTTTGGTAATGGACCTAGTAGCTAGGTTATCTTTTAAAGTCAATCAATATAATCTCACTTATTATTTATATCTCATGTATTAGGTCTCTGAATCATTACAAAGTGTATTTTATTCTTACATTACAAATTGATTATCAATATGAATCATTACGCGTGACTAACTTTATTCGCCATGAATAATTGTTTTATTCTTACATTACAAATTGATTATCAAAATGAATCATTACGCGTGACTAACTTTATTCACCATGAATATCCTTTCTAACCGTATTTTTACATAACTAATAAAGTGCGATGCACGTAATACATAATTTGTATTTTAATGTGATTTTAAATTATATTTTATATTTTATATTTTTATGATCTATTCTATTTTTTTGCATTATTATTTTCAATTAACCAAACAGTACAAGTACATTACATAATGGACAATGTCAAATATAATGAAAGTTGAAATATAATTTTTAAAATAATAATATTTAAAAGTAATGGTGGAAAAGATTGCATGAAAATTTTGGTTGAGAAATCTTCATTATCTAAGTTAGTCTTGTTTATTCAAATTATTTTTTGTTTGGGAAAGATTGACAAATATGAACAGTAAAACTAAATTAAAATCTTTTACATGAACAATAACATGTAATAGTTTAAATTTTTTTCTTCTTATCTTGTTGAAGGAACAATTCTTTGTCATTATTTTATTGACTAAATAAAATAGTGTAACGCCCCAATTTTATTTCAGTAGACATCTCGAATTATTATTATATTATGCATTTTTATGGCATTTTATTTTATCAGCTCGACAAGTAGATTTGATTAATTAGACGTGAGTGTCTATTTAATCATTTCAAATAAATAATTTATTTAGACCTTTTCGTCTAATTAAATTATTTCAGAGTTTAGCAGAATATTAGAAGTTTTCAATCTTGCGAGAGCCAATTATTTTTAGCCGTCTTCAATTTCGTTGATTATTTTCTCGACTTCTTAGAATTATTGAGACCAAAATTAACATTTATGTTCCAGCCCCCTTAAGCTTGTATTTTCAATCATTTTGTTAATATCCGCCCATGTATTGGTTTAAGGTTTCAAATTTCCGTTTGATTAAAAATCAAATAAATCAAATGATCCTTGGTAGATAGTTAGCCTTAAAAGATCAGTTTTCTTTTGTTCCCAACTTATACGCACTCTATCCCAATATTCAAGGGAGTTTGAACTTTTCTTTCAACTACTCCAGATAATATCTCTTCCAGCATCGTTATCTACCTTATCTCTCACACGTTCAGAAGCTGTGAGCAACGGACATTATCTTGTTCCCTCTTTATAACTATCCGATCAAACTCTCAAAGCAGATTTCACTTTCACGCCCCATAAACCGTTCAGAATTTCAAAGAGTAAACCCTCAGCTCATTTTTACGCCGATATTAAACGAGCAGAGAGATAACATTTCTTCATCATCTCATCATCACCATCCCAGCCTTTAACCTCCGTCGGCGAGCAGCAGCGGCTTCACCTTCTCTCTCGTTCGATCGACGAGCAGTACCTCGTCCGACGGAGCAGCGATCACCGTTCATCGTTCGCGAGTTTTAGAAGCCGAGAAGCAGCCGACCAGTCCCCACAGCATCCCCGTTCGAGCAGCCGTTAGTCCATTTTTCCGTCCATCAGAACCACCGAGTAGCATCAGGCTTGAGTCGCGGTGTCCAGCAGCAAAGAACGAGCAGCAAGCCGAGGCTTTCTTTTCCCGATTCCCTTCAGTCATTTAGCATTTAATCCCGAAGGAGGTATATGGCTTAACCTCCTTTAATATTTTCGAGTTATTCATGAAGGATTAATTTAGGACTTATGGTTCATGCTAGAAATGATTTGAGAAGACTTCATGAGAATTGATTATCTTGAGGTGGTGAGAATTGATGTTGAACTCTCGTATCTTGTCTTTTAGCCTCTAAAAATTTAGAGTTTGTGTTGCAGCAGTCAAGTTAATGATAAGTAATTTGTGAAATCATGCAAAATGGCTTAAGTTAAATTCCTTTATTTGTTTCGAAAATGTAAGGGAAGGTTGAGCTAGTGGTGAAATTGATCCCTGTTGCTGGAGAAATTTCTACTTTAAATTGCATTCAAATGCTATTAAACAATTATCAAAATCAAACCCTTTAGCCATGTTGTAATATCCCGTCAGTTCATCAGTATATATTATGTTTTAATTCCGATATATTAATATTGTCAAGTATTAATTTTCGGAATTAATTATTTTCAGTCGAGATTACCGAAAAATTATTTTCGACGTACCGTTTACGTTCGAAATAATTTTGGTAATTAAGAATTATGCTTAAAAGTTAATTAGCATAATTAAGTGATTAATTAAAACATTAATCACACAATTAAGGTTCAAAAGCCGTACCATTTTTCCATTAATGTTCCCTAAGGCCGTACGGATTTTTTTTTAAGAATTCCCCAAATTTGTAAATAATTTCCTAAGTATGAAGGAAGTAATTTTCCTTCCATTTTAAGCTTTTGCACGTGTCATTGAGTGGGGATTTAAGAGGGTGATTAGTCACCCATAAGACACTTAATTATCTAGCATATGGCAAGCTAAGAGATAGCCACGTCTATGCTACCTCATGTCCAAATAATGTGGCTTTTGTTCGGTTAAGTATATATAAGAGTGTTTGGTCCGAAATTTTGCCCATCTCTTTTCATCCTTTAAGCGTCCATATGCACATCTTCATACATCTGAGGTTAAGAGTGGGAGAGTTAGTGAGATTAGTAGAAGTTCTTGAGTAGTGAAGGCACGGCAAGTAGCAGTAGACGTACGGCGAAGCATCGCACGGCAAGAGGTAGTTGGTATCACACACGGGCACGCACACGCGAGTTCACGAACAGCTTGGGAACTCCGTCGAGCATTTGAGGAGGTAAAGCCATCCTCAACCTTGTTTCATGTTAATAAGTTCATTTAAGGCTGAAGTGTTTGGTTTATGTTTCAGAAATTCATTAATATGTCATGTTAGACTCGGTTTAGGCCATTATCAGTCATGACCGAGTAAAGTTCAATTCCATCCGGCAACTCATGAACAATTCACGTTTATTTGATCAGTTTAAATCATTTTACACTCAGTTATGTCATGTTGGTCGGAGCAAGATATTGTTTTGTCCTTGAATTGGCTCAAAGTCGTCGCCAGCGCACGTCGCGCATGGCCACAGGCCGTCCCAAGTCATGTTATGTTATCTTCTGTTATGGTCAAGATTGTCCGTGTGATTTATGTCTCAACAGCTTTAAAATGATGTTTCATGTTTAGTTGATCTTGAGTTGCCGAGGGAAACGTTGAGTCGGTCGAGAGATGGCCTAACGCCGTCGGCGGCGCACGGTGCGCTCGCCACGGCCCTATTCAGTTCATCGTGCAAAAGTGATATTTTCAAGTTAATTCATTGATCATGTTCATGTTATATCAGATTATGTTAATTGAAGTCAGGTTGCACGGGAATTGTTGCCGGACGGCCGACAAGGGTCGGTTGTGGCCGCGCTGTCCGTACACAGCGGCAGCAGCGCGCCCGGCAGCCAACCGCGCGACTGGCAGC